ATTACGATTCACGCATCGAATGTGCATCGAATGATTCGATGCGTGTCAATCGACATGATTCGATGCTTTGAATCGAATGGCATTCGATGCGCGAATCGAATGCTTCGTATGCTGTGAACGAATGATTCGATGCTTGTTTGAATCAAATGATTCGATCTGTTGATCGATATGATGCAGTCGCATAATTCGATTTCCGCATGAATGACTGCACCTCGAATCTTCGATTCCGCATCGACTGGAATTTTGAATCGAATTTATGAAACAGAATAACATGCCTAATAGATATCAAGGTTCCACGTGTATTGTACAGTGTGAGAGTTTTGAGTTTTTCATTATAGGAGAAAAGACCTGTATCCACCGCGTAGTCCTTGTTCTATGTGTTTTTCCCGGCCCTGTACGTAGTGAAGGGTACGTGACGTGTGATCGAGGTAGTTGGAAGGATGGCGGAATAAGAAGTGGGGAGCGAATAAAACTATGATTGTGTTATCTTTCACTCTGGAGTTATGTTTTATACTGGTCGTTTTAAACTAGTTAACAGACTAACAGGCAGGTTCAGTATTATTAGTAACTTACTTTTAGTACCGGGTAAACACAGTTCTTCATTTATTAGCTCCTTGGTACGCAACTCAGTGTAGTTACTGTTTACTTAGTAGTAGTAGTTCCTGCGTATTAGGTAGTACTAGTAGGTAGCTTTACTAGTAATTACTGTAACATTTAGTATTGGTAGTTAATAGAAGTATTCGTAGTGCAAAGGTGTGGGATACAATTCGCTGGCTGCTTGGCGCGATCGTGTTAGATATCCCATATTCTACTTATAGGTGCCTGTGAATCACGACGGCTGTCCGGGCGTGGGGAAAGCACCTCCGGAATGTTTCACGTGGCAATTATCTTACGGGAACACTTACAGTTCAAGCTTTCCACTGTTCACACAGTTTTATAGGCATTCTGACACCATGTTGAAATCTTTAGTTTGATGAGGAGTGTAACTATGCAGAGATACAATAGCAGATAAGAGTGACAATTAATGAAACTAACTGTAAACTGGATTTATTACGAATAGCGAAGACATGTTGTATTGTTCCTATATATCGGATCCTCTAAACTCAGCCAGTCAACGCTAGCCGTTAGGCGGGTCATAACCGGTTAGCGCCGGTTGCCCGTGCTGCACAGGAAACGAGGCTATGTGCATATAGACTGGTACCCGGTCGACAGTTCCAGACGCTACACTACGTGAGTGTAGCGATATGCCGGAGTGAAGGTGGCAAACGGGTACCAGTCTACTATGCCTGTAGCCTCGGCCCTCGTTGCGCTGTCTATGGCACGCCATATGCATTAGAGTCGTCAACAACAACAAACAAAGAACAAACTTGAAATCCGTTTATTACAGCAAAGAAAGCGCACCTAGTAGCGAACAAAGAATTGGGAGCATTTCTAACAAATGTCAAGGTACGTGGGTAGTCCAATCCGTCGTGCAAGCGCCAGAACTGCTCAATTCCGTTTGCGCGGAGAATTACGCTTCTATGTAATCCGTGTAAGGTCATGGAGTCGGGGCAGCGAAATATTATTAGAGCGCCGCCAGGGCGGCGTTGGCGGCTGCAGAATGTCTAGTACTGACAAGTTGTATTTATTAACCATCATTTTATTATTGAAACGGCCGAAGTGCTGTGCATCCATAGGCAACAGGCCTGAACAAGCATCGAACAGAAATTAATTAAAAATACTCACACTGTTACTACGGCTGATAGGGTCTATTCCCCCCATGGTACTGCCGGAACGTACCCTGGGTACGGTCCGGTATACCGGAACGTGCCCTGGTAACTATCTAATATGCCGGACCGTACCTCGCCTACTCCAAACCGTACCCTGACCAGAGCACATAAATTTTAGCCGATGTCGTAATACATACCGCTTGTCGGCAGGAAACGCGCCGCTTTATGCTCCCGTTCCTTGTTTCCGGTCCGTTCACGCAAAATATTCGTAACCATTACCCTGTTACGTTTCACCTCCCGACCCTTTCTACAAGTCTCAGCAAGTTATAGGCCCTACGTTTCCAACCCATTAAGATAATCATGCAAATTTTCCTGTTCCACCACAACACTTGGAGCCATTTTTCAAAAATCTCGCGCGAAAATGCGCGAAAATGTCGTGAAAAGCAAAAGGAAAACGCATTCCCGATCATCGCGATATTTGCAAAAGGATTGCGCGCATCAGTGTATATAGGTTGAAATTTCTTCTTGGTTTCACAGTTTCATACTCCAATCCAACATTATAAAGATATCATACAGGTGAGTATGTGTATTTCAAATTTTGCGACATCAGTAGTGGGCGGAACAGGGACAGTCAGGGTACGGTAGGGAGTAGCACGAGGGGTAGTAGGGGGGGTAAGCGAGGTACGGTCCGGCATATCAGATAGTTACCAGGGTACGTTCCGGTATACCGGACCGTACCCAGGGTACGTTCCGGCAGTACCCTGGGGGACATAGACCCTATCAGCGTTACGCCGCATACACAACACACTGTATTCATGTCAAATAACTACAGATTCATGCTCTATGCTCCGCTCGAAACATTTGCCAGCTCTATGATGCGAATTTCTGCAAAGTAGTCTAAACACATTTCAAACACAAAAATGACCAACCGGTCGCTGTGGCTACGCCACCTGATGGAATGTCACGAATACACAACAAGACCAATTTTACTTCTAATGCTTTCTAAACAGCTGTATACAATGCGCCAGTACAC